TGAGGATGTTGAGATGGATGAGTGGCAAGACAAGAAGGGATAGAATTCAAAATGAATACATTTGGGAGAACTTAGATGTAGCTCTAATAGGTAATAAGATAAGAGAAAATAGACTGAGGTGGGTTGGGTATGTGCATTGCAGACTTAATACAACACCCATTAGGAGGTGCGAATTGGTTCAAGTGAAAGGTCCAAAAAAGACAAGGGGTAGGCCAAAAAGGATGTAGTTGGAAGTAGTGAGAAAATATATGGTGACTTATTGCCTTATTGAGGGTATGGTCCTTGATAGAGCAGAATGGTGGATTAGAATTCGTGTAGTCGACCCTAAATAATAAGGAAAAGGCTTTGATGATGATGATGGTGATGATGATTTTGTTTAGGATTTGCATGTCCTATTTCATTAATCAAGGGCACTATTGTAAATGGGTCATCTTATAAATATAAATAAGTGGTGCATGGGGTTCTTGACCAATATGCCACACTCCTTCTCTTCTCTTCCATCTGTCTCTTTCTTACATCTCTTTCTCTCTCTTCTCCTCTTTCTTCTTTTTTCTCTCTCTTTCTACTATTAAAATTTTCTACATCTCTCCTTCTCTCTTCTTTATTTTGCCCTAGATTATTTTCAACTCTTCAAGGAGTTAAGAGATGTTAAGAGTGTTGGACTTCTGGGTTGATTGGCTCAAGATGGTTGACAGTGGGTCCTCGAGAGGCGATATCAGCAACCTGCTGGACCCTCTCTGGACTCACTTTTGGAAATTTATCATCAATGGGAGAATAGTAGATAATCCAAGGTCTTTAGGTGTCATAGGTATTTGGAGAGATGGTCTAGGATGGCTTGTTGCGTCTCTTGGAAGTCTATCATCCATGGGAGATCAGTAAATAATCCAAGGTCCCCAGGTGTCGTGGGTATTTGGAGAGATGGTCTAGGATGGCTTGTTGCAACATGTAGGCCATTTCTTTAGTGTTTGTTAAAAGAAAGGGGCCATGCCATGTATACTCTTTTGCTTTGCTCCCTACCCAGGGACCATGGTTTACTCTTTTGCTTTGCTCCCTACCCAGGGTCTTCATTGCTTGATGAAGGCTCCCTTAACATTGTGCGATGTCTTAGAGATGACTCACTTGGTTTGTGGAGACTGTTTTGATGCGATTTTTGTTTGCTGTAAAGGGGGGGCCATTTCAATTATTCACATCGCTTATGAGGTGGAGCTTTTTATACCTATGATTTTTCATTGGTTGTCTTCCCTTATTCACCCCTTATCCTCTCCCTACTGTTTCCCTTTGTCACTTCCATCTTACTGTTTTTTGCCCTCTTGTATCCCACTCTCTTCCCCTCCTTTCTCCTCTTGGAGTTCCCCATAACTCCTCACTAGTCCCTCCACCTTGATTATATTATAAATCTTTGATAGTCTATGCCCCACTATGGATGGCCCTACAAGACACTTTTTCGTGTTGGTGACTTTGCCTAAAACGTTGTTGAGGAAGCACCTTTGGATATCTTTTGGTAGTAATATTGACGGACTCTAGTGATTGGTTGCTTTGGCAAGTCAGATAAAAACAGATACAGCAGGTAAAACTTGCTTTCATGTATTTGTTCATATACTTTTTGAGTGTTCGCCTGTAGGTGACGGACCTAAAATGTGGCTGGTCTCCCCAATTAGGTCTAAACTTGATGCTGCTGTCGGTATACCGTGTTATTTATGCATGTTAACTTTCAAAGAATAATATCAAATTGTCAACAAGGCTATAACATATTGATAGTTCAAAATACACAAACCCTAAAAATATACATAAATAAATCGTAGTTAATAATATCTACCAGTTCATGCAAATTATCTTTTGAGCATTTAAACCCTACAAATTTATTTTTTGTTTCATCCCACTAGGTCTTTTGGCTAGGCTTGTGGAATGTATAGAAATTGAGAGGAACATATTTACGCATTTATATCTAAATATTATTAATTATGGAAAATGGATAACTTTTTAATGTGACTTATCATAAGGAGATCGAGAAAGAGAGATTTGAAATTAGATGAAGATTCAGAGAGATAATTGGATTGTGGGTTTTTTCCCCCAATTTTTTGTGAACTTCAAAATTTTATTATTTTTCTTTTTTGTATAGTCGTTTAGGAACCAAAAAATGGGTCTGCGTCGTGGTCTTTGGAGGAATAGGATTACCTCTATAAGAGCGCTGGCAATATTCTTCATTGAGAACCTGCAAGACAATCATATTTCTGTATCAGGAGGCTTCCCCAATGACAAGAAAAACCACTCAAGACTGCTTAAAAGAAGACTCAACAGAATTCCCCTTTGGAGATGCTGCCCAAGTCCAAGTCTTTTCCCATAGAACTGAAAGCAGTCCTTCCTTGAGGCACCTCAGGTTAGATTGTCTTGATTTGAAAAAGTGGCGATGTGGAACTCAAGGTAGTAAATTAAAAAATTTTCCTGTTTTTTTTATTCAATATACCTGAGTTCTAGTTACATGGGTCACTAAACATTGCTGTAAATCAAAATTAAAACCCTAAACACAACCTAGGAGCAATAACCAATTTCCATCTATAGTTTTGAGTACAAAATACATTCTTGAAAATTCACAGAAAAACATATAATATGATTTGTAAATAAATGGAGAAGACTTGTTAAATGTTGCCTGGAGTTACCCTCATAGGTCTTGATACACCTTACACCCGATTTCCTGACCAATGGGCGCACTTTTTGTCCCTTTTGATCTTGCTGGAATTTTAGGTATGGGAGGTTTTTATAGGCAATTATCTCTTATTAGGGTTTTAGATAGCATGAAAACCTCACTAAGGTTTGTAGGAACCCTTAGTAACAAATTAGGAATCTTATCCCCTAATATTTGACCCACGTCCAGCTTTTATTTAAATTAGAATTATAACCAATCCAAAACTTCCTAAAATCTTTTCAAAATCTATAAGAAGTAAAAATAATTAGAGTTTTGGTCAAACCAAACTCCTAGTTAGAATAAATTTTTGAAACATAACTCTCACTTGAATAGGAATCAAATCTTTTTTAAATTTGAAAGATTTCTAACTAAAACTATTAACTAAAAATGGCACATTTTAGAAAAATAAGTGGGGCGTGCCACCCTAGGGGATTTGTGTGGCCCCACAAGGCCACGCCCCACATGTTGGTGGCACACACATTTTGGGGATGGATCCTTGGTCCCTACATCTGCTCTTTCAAGTTTTGAATATTTCAAAGCTGCTCTTAATGAATATTACAATAGAATAAAAATTTTAAAATTTTGAAAAAATTTGTAAAAGATCAGAAAAACATTTCTAATACCAAAATAAAATATTTTAGAAGTGGACTGGTACCAATGGGTCAAAATTAACGATAATAAGGGCAATGCACTTGACCCAAGAACCATGATCTGCTACTGCTTTCTTATCCGACCCAACTAAGACCCATGACCTACAGTCTCAATGCAGGGGTTCATGATTGTCTTGTCAAAGTTCGTTAATAAATAGTAGAATCATGATCCTGCGTTGTGGATTTCAGTCCTCCCCTTTAAGAGCAAGTCTAATACTTGTTACCACAGTGCAAAGGGGCTCTATATGTATATGTACACATGTCCCTCGATAGGGCTATTTCTCGGCTATTATGTGTATATGCCGTGCGGAAGGTTATTGAGGCTTGTCTTTGCTCTCACAAGCGTACAACCATATAGTTCTCATATCCTACAAACATTATCCCTGGTCATCTCTCCGACCTCAACAAAAGATGACCCACTGTAAATCCTTCTCGGTAGTGCCACTGCCTAGGGATAAGGGTTTTGAACATAACTAGGGCCATAAACTGTTCAACTCTTGGTCAGCCAACACACATACTCCTAATGACGTGCATGTTCCACTATAAAATGTCATTTTTACAAGCTCTCTAGATATTTAAAGCCACCAAACCAAATAAATTTGTTTAAGACTCAGGAAGTGATTCAATGTTGTCCCTTATACACCAGCTCAAAAAGCATTCATTTTTGTGGCAATTGGTACATTTGTTTAAGGTTTTCTTGGAGGGCATGAAGTCAAGGAGAGCTCGACTTTATATGTAGCCTTAAATGGGCATTTTATGTGCAGCCAATAGCCACAACATATTGGGCCTGCTTATATTGTAGTGCCATTAATGGTGAAATTACAACAGAGCTGAGGCAAGTTATACGCTGCATCATAACACGCCCTTAGATGCTGAAATACAGCTGATGTTGCAAGAATTTGAACTTAAAAACCAATTTTCCTTGCCTTGTCGCTTTTGATCTTTGCTTCTTTGCATGCATTCCAATTTTAGCTAAAGCTCTCCCAATTGTAAAACTCTTACATGGACCACTGAAACTTTGAATAGATTACAGATGTGCCTGAATAATTAAGTTTGAAGGGAGGGAGTTGGGATTGCAATAGGATTTATGTTTTTCGAGGTTTGAGGAGATCATCATCTGCTTTAAATCTAGCAGTCTTCTTTTATAAGTTATAGCCATTATAATCTTTCTTCTCTTTCACAGTATAAACAAATCAAGCTAGCCCCCAGAAAAGGGGCACAAAATTTTTGTGTTCCCTGAAAGTTGATGATGTGCCTAAACATGTGTTTACAGTGGTAACATGAATCATCTTTTTATTACCAAATTTAAAACGTTAAGAGTGTTAATCAGTTGGTATCCTACCAACACATTATCATCTATCAATGTAAGGATTCTAATTTTCCACAAATTAAATGCAGACTTTTTAAATGACTTTCTCTATTTTCTTATTGCTACAAATCAGTCTAGTCGTAATGTAATTGTTTAATGGGACGATCCTGAAACATGTAAAGATCATTGCCAATCTTATAAAAGGAGGTTTAAATAGTGTCGGAATGATGAGATTATCATGGTACCTGTAAATGGATGGAGATTGAAATGTATATTCGCATAAAGAACTACAAATTGATGAAATTCACTGTTTATATCCTCTTAAATCAAATAAGCATAATGGATTATATTATTGCAGATTGTGAGTGGAAAGCCCAGGCTGGGAACCCATGTGCGGCATCCTTTGACTGGAGTTGTAGTGGGATCTGCAAATCAGTGGAGAGGATGAAGGACATCCATGAGCGTTGCAGTGAGGGAGATGGTGCCGTCTAGAGTGCCATCTTATGATGCCTCTCTCTCTCATGTAATCTTTTGTGTGGAGTTGCACGTTACAGTCTGTATTCACTCTCTTGTGGAAAGCTACATTCCACATTCACTCCCATATAACTATATATGGGAAGCCACGTAAACACATCCTCCTCACATGTATGTGTGAATTTACATTCCCCATCCCTGGTCGGTGAAGCCCCATTTCTGTTTTGCATGGGATGAACAGACTCAAGGCATGAACGAGTTGGTCTTGCATGGAGAGTTCCCAATCGGGGTGTTTGTGGTTGCTGAGGGACTTGTTATTTAACAACATTTCATGTGTACAGTTACAGAAAATGAATGGGGTGATTTTGTTATTTGCAGAGGCGTTCATGATTACAGGTTATTTTTTGTGCCTTCTTCAGATTTTTATGGATAACTGTCAGAACATTGGTTTATTTGTTAAGCCGAGCTATGCCATGGACTCATATGTTTGATGCACATTCATCCATGATTCAAAATGAGTTTGAATGATAATATGTAATTAAATTATGCAACTATTTCTCCTTTAATATGTATAGTGGGATCGTGCAGGAGCATAATGTGCGCATACTCCCTCTCAAAGAGATACAACAGGAATTTTTACGATATCAAATTTTGTGATCCAACTAACAAACTAGTGATAATTATTTTCTGAAAAGAACATTGAATTTTGACTTTTTAAATATCTAGATCTAATTATCCTAAATGAGAATATCCCTCTTTAGCTGTCGGATATTAAATTTTTTAGGCTGTTACCAATTTATTTTTTCTTTTTTCTTTGAGATTAGTTGCTAGATTCAAGAGGTTTGTTCCTCAAGATTGGAATCCTTAGTTTAGGTTTAACATGGGAGGACATCATGCTGTTGTGAAAAAGTTAGAAATATTTCAAAATTGTTTTATATAACTGCAAATGGTGCTAATGATTAAGTATGCTAGTGGGGAAGTCAAATACGATACTTTTAGATTTCATGATAAATAAGAACTCCGCGTTCCAAGAAATATGAAGAAATGGAAAATCTTTGCTATTCAAAGCAAATTATATTTATTGTAATTGGATATTTATTATCGGTAAATAAAGGGTATGGTGTTTGTAGACATGGTTTCCAGAAATTTAATCTACAAGCCTTTGTGGTGGTTTTTTTTTTTTTTGTTTAGATTAGCTGTCATTTATTCATCGTTGGTCATTTTGTGGCACCCACCACCCTTCCTATCTACGGGTTAAGGCAATTCCTTTTGTGATGGGATTTAAAATCTATTTTCACACTTAACTTTGGCATTTGAAGCTTTGAAAATAGTGTCAATCAAGTAGACCCGTGAAGATTTCAAATGGATGACATAAAAAATATATTGCATGATAGAACCATTTTGAGGGGTCAGAATCCATTCTTTTTATTATTTTGCCTAAATTCATATCTGGGGAGGTTGAGATAATTGATTTGCAATTTTGTATTTTACATAAAGGAATATTATTTCTAAATGTAAGCCTGTAGGTTTTTATGCACTAACTATATAGCTAAATATGAAGCCTTGACATGGGACTTGAAAAATCCACTGAACTGTTAATTGAACTGTTACAAGTGATTTGTGATTCTCTACTGTCATAAGTCCTTTTTGTTGGTATGTAAATATTTCTAGACGTCATAGACGGTGCAATTGTGACTGAGGGGGTTTGAAACCCAAACTTAAGACAATATATAGCAAATACTAGCCAACATCACATTTAGTTGTAACTACCGTCAAAAATCAAGCTTACGAAAGATGGAAAGCAAAGGCGTTTGGGGCCATGTAAATAATAAATCTACTTATACATGGCCCCTAGTGTCTCTATCTCAAAGCTCCAAGACTCTAAAAAGACAATGGTTCCCCTTGCACGGACATCTTCTTCTCAGGCTGCCAACTCAAGGTTCTAGGTCCGTAGGTTTGGTTCGTGTGAAAATATTTTCACATGCAATTTTTTTTTTATGGGGTTAAATGTGAAAATATTTTTACATCAATTAGTTGCCAATTGGTGTGAATAGATGCATTAAGATCAATTGATATGAAAATATTCCACACTCAACCGTGAGAATTTTTTCATATAAAAATATTTTCTGGAAAACATTTTCACGCAAACCAAACATGCCATTATTTTCTTTCATTTTTAATGTTATTTTAGTTGGTTGGTTTGTGATAATATATTTTAAAATATTTTCTTATAATTTACCCTGTTTTCTTAAGTTCTAAAAAATCTTCCGGTTTTGAGGCGAATCTTAGCCAGAACGGTACATGGATGTTTTCCTTTATTGGACAGAGTTTAGATGGAAACCAGAAAGAAAATGTTGTTTTTTTTTTTTTTCAAAATTTCATATATAAACACATACATGGGGGCTTTAGACAAGTGAAAGAAACGTAGGTTAAAAGGTGGGCGTATTTCGGATCAAAACAATTAACTTTTTTTTTTATAACTTGGAAGTACGTGAAAAAAAAAAAAATTTTGTTGTTAATAATGTGGTTTAAGGGGGTATGCCTAGAAAGTTGCGGTAAGAGGGGGGGCTAATAATTTTTCTTGGTTTTTTGTTTAATTTCAAAATATCTATTAGACATGGCCGAAAAATATAAAATGGAAATTATTGAAAAAATTAGGTGTAATTTGATAAATTTCCCTTTTTTCGATGTTAACTTTTGGAACCACATGAGAATGACTAGATAATTAGTTTTAAATGAAAATTTCAAATAGAATCCTAATTCCTCATATCATTTAATGATAGACCCTCATTCCGTTTCTCTTTTAAACGGCATAAGGAAACCTCTAAAGATTTTACTGACGCCCTCATATCTTATCTCCTTCTTTAATTGACTTTTGACTATAAAAATTAGCCCCAAAAATCTTTTTATAGGATTTCAACCCAAAAACTATTTTAACCATCTTTTTCCCTTTTCACCTATTAAAAAAGTTTTTGGGTTGAAATGGTATAAAAAGATATTTTGGGGTTAATTTTTATGATCAAAGTCAATGAAAGAGGGAGATAAGAGATGTTGGGGTACGGTAAAATCTTGAGGGGTTTCGCTTGAAAGAAAAATAAAAGGATAGTCTACCATTAAATAATATGAGGAATTAGGGTTTTATATGAAATTTTCCCTAGTTTTAAAAGAGAAAATTTGAATTTTAAGTTTTCTAAAAGCGTAGATCTTGTCCTCAAAAAAATTGAGATACGATTTAAAGTTTATGTTTTTAATATCAAGACATTATTATTTTAGAAAATGAATAAAAAAATCCTTAGTTTTATGAGTATTTTAAATTAAAATAAAAGATTATGAACAAAGCATTAAATCGTCTATCTCATCATCATTATTATCATTATAACATTTTTCCAATTAATTGGGGTTATTATCATTATAACATTTTTCCAAGTAATTGGGGTTAGCTACATAAATCTGATCCGTCATTTTACTCGATTAAAGATCATACCTTCAGTGAATTAATATTTTATATTTTATACTTAAATCCTACTTTGTTACATTAATTTTGTATTTCAATTTTATTCTTTTTGATATATTTCTCGTAGAGCTCAAATTTTGGGGACCCATAATTCTCAAAACGTAACACACCTATAACATTATAATTAAGTGAAATAGAAAACACCTCTGCAAATTAAAAAATTGTACGGGTATTTTAGTCATATTATTTATTTTAAAAATACCTTTTCAGTATTTTATTCAAAGGTTAGATGGTGGGAAATATAAACCTCCCAAATTGGTGCTTAATCGAATGTATTGAAAAAGAAAATAGTATTAAAATACAATATTCACCTTGGAAACATTAGGACTTGAATGTTAGATGGTGAGAAATATAAACCTCCCAAATTGGTGCTTAATTGAATGTATTAAGAAGTATTAAGAAGAAAATAAAATTAAAATATAATATTCACCATGGAAAAATTAGGACTTAGATGTGAATTATAAAATAAAGAGGGCTATTTTTATTTAGGGAAAATGGTTTGATAGGTTGCCGCCCATCAAAATAAGTAATGCCCCATCTCATAACTTATAAAAAATTGCAATTTAACTATTGGAAAACCTTTACAACACTCATCTCGGCTTGAACATTATGATTGTAAAAAAAAAAATAAGAAAAAAACAAAAAAAAAATTTAAGGTAAAGCTTTTTTTTGTTTTTATAAATCATAGGCCTTATAGAAACTTATGACCGTTAAGAAATCGTTAGCATTTACTTACCTATTCTTTATAAATACAAGAACCCCATTAGATTGCACCAATATTTCTGGCTCGTCCTCTTCTCTCATGTCTGATGGCTATGTTATGTTGCATGTGATGGCTATGTCATATTGCATGTAATAGCTGACTCATTGCTCTAACTCATTGCTAGCTGCAGGTCATGGCTTTGAGCTCTTTTACGTTGCATATGATGGCTATGTTCATAAAATTATGTCACCGCTATGTTCATAAATGTCACGGCTATGTTCATAAAATTGGTGTGGTTGTTGCATGTTATCTGTCTGGCATTTTAAGTTGCATCGTACGCTTATGTTCATCAAATTGTCCACAGAGAGTGGCATACCTTCTAATATGTGGTTGAGGTTCAAATATAATTGGAAAATAGTTATACCTTCTATTTTCATCACATTATACATGGAGAATACTATAGTTTTACTCTCTATCAAATTTGCCTAGTGCAATATCTTTTTCAGTGATTTAGGCCTAAATCATCGATGGAAAATAACTAAAATGAAAATACTCCTGAAAAGTATTTTTTAACGCAAACTTACTTTATTTAAGTATGACATGAAAAAAAGTGAGGATTGGAGAGGATTTATTACCTTAATAATCAATCACCTCCGATATCTAAAAATGTTTATCATCTCATTAATTATTTAAAACACAACAAAAATAATTATACATATCAATCCAATAATATAATCAATAATTATACCTATCTATCCAATAAAGGTTAAAGATAATATACTGATGGCAAAAATACTACCAAAAGCATTCTTAGTTTTTGGAAACATGAGGATAATAAAATTTGAAGGTTAAGGATAATATACTGATGGCAAAAACACTACCAAAAGCATTCCTACTTTTCCGAAACAAAAGTATGAGGGAATTTTAGGAATGACTCTCAATAGCATTAAAGAATCTATCCAATCGAAACAAAAGCATAAGGGAATTTTAGGAATGACTCAGCATGAAAGAATCTATCCCATAATATAGTGGGAAGGTTAAGGATAAGCAAAAACCCTACGAAAAGCATTCTTACTTTTCCGTAACAAAAGTACGAGGGAATTTTAGGAATGACTCCCAATAGCATGAAAGAATACTATTCGTAGGCGTACTGTCATGCTTCTTGGTCAGGTCAGGTATTTGG